ATGTTTGCTACACTCTAGAAACTTCAGTTGTTTTCAAAACTGGCACTACTTAAGTAGGCAGGAAAAGTTAAATAGATGAAATTGAAAATACTAAACGATTTGAGTTTTAGTTTATAGTTGCTTACTTAAGTGGGATTAATAATTCTAACCTCGTATATCGTTATGTTAATAGTAAATACAAATTTGTTATTTTCTGAACTGATTTAGCATGCAAGCTCATATAGTATTTATAGTTTTGCAAGCATCCAAAATGATGTTAAAAGAAGGTCGGTAACATCACTAGGGATGACATACTGATGGCTTCAAATTGTATTTATTACTGGCCCGAAACTAGAGTAGTAATCAACTATAAAACCGCAATAATTAGTAATTATGTTACAATGCCCTAGAAATGGAAATTGCTTTAATAAACTTTCGCATACATTAGTAAGTTTAATATAGTTAGAATTATTGTTGTCAGAAGCCATATCATAATGTAATGCTGATTATTCATATCCACTTGACGAAAATGCCTAGAGGAGTTTTCAATTTTACTTGAAATGCACTCTCTAATAATGCACATTTACGACCCTGTAGCATTATCTACGACGTTTATTTGGTATCATTATTACGATTAAATCAATAAACTGGTATCTAGTAACAGGTATTTACCATGCGAACAGCCGAAATAAAGACAACCGACATTATAAAATGGTTAAAAACATCTAAAAATTATTTTAAATTAATTCCCCTGTGATTACCAGTAGTTAATTAAACGACATCTCAGATTTTACCCAGTTTATTAATTTTATATTAATTCTCTTGATTGCGCGTAATTTATGAAGTCGGGCGAGTAAGTCAATATCGTGAGCCTGGTGACTATTTTAACTATGATTGATTACTCGACGTTTTAAATGTGTGTACTTTGGGAACAAGGAAGATAAGTAAATGAGGAATTTTCACTTCCACCCACTATTTAAAGACAGTTACATACGGTGAGAAATGAATAATAAGCAGTTAATATTGATCAAGTGCACTTTAATAAAGTCGCCACTAATGTAAAACTTCAACTACTGTTATTTCAGGAGTGATAAACCATCCAATATATCCGAAAATTGACTAATTCAATTATTAACTAAAAACTAGGTATTATATTTAAATATATTTATTCTGACTTAATTTCCCAGACACAAATCCACAGCCGTTTTTTGTTAATAAATCCTGTTAAAATGAAAGTGAACTAAATGAGTAAAGGATCTTCTTTAATTTTACTGTAAATTATTCATTAGACATCAATGTTCTGTTTTTAATATTGCTGCATTAATTAGCAATTTTTACTTTTGTGCTGTCCACAATCACTTTATATTTTTTAGATAGTGTTTTTTTCTTTGTTGTACTTTTCTAAAACGTTTGGATAACAGGCAAACATAAGTGTATTTTCAATGCACTACATGTTGCACCTTAAGTACTATTTTCTATGTTAATTTCGATCAATTATTGCATTAAAGCACAAAAAAGTGGTAAAGCACAAATGTTAATTAGTAGACAAAACAGTTCATTGATGTAATCGCTACATAACTTTTATATGCTACGCGTGTTTGTTAGAAAATTTTATAGACGTTCGTTATTTACTTTCAAATATTTGCTTAACGGAGTTAAGTTTTTAATATTTTAACACTGAAATTCTGCGTTCTGCCAATTCTGCGATCTATAAAATTTTAATATAGTCCGTTACATATTGCAATTATTATTCTTCATCCTCTAGAAATACATAGACTAGATAAGAGTCGATTCATGAAATATCAAGACACAATATTCACTAAAACGACGAAAAAATGAATTGTCGGTTTTTTGCGAAAGAAATTCAAAGCATAGTGTTTTGAGAACAGTATTTCTCATTTCAAATAAAACTAAATTAAAGCACCTACATGTGTTCTGTGACCTCACCAATGTGTCTTAGATAAAATGAAAGCACTTTCGCTTGGATTGAATTGCCCGAGGCCTCTGATATTGAATAGCGTGCTCGTGACGTGTTAATATTATATGGCGGAGGAATTTTATTTTACTTAACAATACGACACAATCACATAAGTTTTGATTGATGGAAGCCTATTTTAGATTGCAGTTTCTTCAGAATCGTTGCGTTTTCATCCTTTCACAGTTTAGCACGGGTTTTTAAGTAGGTACTGAACCGGCCCACCGGATCAAACTTAGCTTCCATATATATTTCCATTCGTTCGCGTGTAGGTTGAGTACGTAAATATTACTCGCCCTGACTTTGGACATTTAAAAATCAGCCTAATATGTAACGATTAATAACTGAAATCACGGAAAACATAAAGATAAATGTTTGTAATGATATTTAAAGACCGACACATTGAACGATTTCCACAACTATCGGAAATATGTTTTCTCCCTTCCTTACAGTAATTCATCAGATATCAAAGGTCTCAAAAATTTCCCCTTCTGGATTGGCTGTTCGAATCAATTCCGTAGCCCCTAAAGCTCTTTTAGACGCGACTTGGAATTCAAGCTTTAACTGCTCGCGATTTCAAGTTCTGTTGGCATTTTGTTCAAATGATATCTCTACATTTAGGTTATAAAATTAAATGTAAAACAGTGTAAAATTAGTACAATTTAGGACAAAATAAATAATTGAATTGGCAAAAGTACCATTTTCGATTTCCTTATTCCAGTCGAGTAATAATAATTTAAAATAATGCGTCAATACAAATAAATATATATCATAGTAGGGATTGCACATTGAACTGTTAACATCGTTGTTAATATATTTCGCGAATAAGCCAAATTCAGATCTCCCTTATATTTTCGCCTAGTATACTCTAGGTAAACTGACATAATCTCTCCACATGAAAAACAACTAGATATAAATCAACCTGTGTAGGGTATTCCCAAATCCCATTTCTAGAATTAAAAGTAACTGTTACTCATATACGTATCGTTGTCGAAATACTGCCTAAAATTGCGAATGATTGATATTTTATAGAAAATAACAATTATCGCAAGTATCGTTATATCTGAGAAAAATGCGGAAAATCCTTAATAAAGTTCGTGTATCAAATCAATGATCGTACATCCAGTGAACTTGAACGGAATCACCTTGGACATTGCCCGAGTATTTCAAAGAATGTAAGTAATGAACATTTTATTGGGATCTGTTAACACATGATAGTAGTCATAAAGATTAGTTAGCTATTTAGGTCACTATGCAGAAAAGATTAATTTTATTATGCCGTGCATATTAAGTATTTAATTAGATCACGAAATTGTCGATGTATGACCAGAAAGGTAGTCACCAAAAAGTATTAATGGAAGTTTGAAAACTTTCATTAAAAGTATAATTGGGTAAAGGTATACAACAAGGAGAAGAAGTTCGTTCGATTCTTCGAAGAACGGAGCAAAGGAAGTTATCTAAATATATGAACCGTTGATTAAAATAGGGCAAACTTGAAAATATTTTCACAGATCGCAAAATTATTCCGAAATAAGTACAATGTTTAGCTTGAATTTCTAAGCCCGCACTTTTAACCACGATTTTGTGAACTTTAGCCTCTTCGGGCTGGGGATGGAAGCATAGCTACTAAAACGCGCGTCTTGTGAAAAAATCAATTGCAGAAAATGTAGTAAAAGTCGGTTATTTCACAGCACTTTTATGGAAAAATTAGACTCACTTCGACAATATGCAATTGACCAAGAGAGAATTAAAAATCGCTTTAAAAAAGCAATTTAATAAAAATAATGAATAAAACAGACAACTTAAGAAAAAACCGAGAAGAAAAGAAAATCAATGAATTGGAGAACCTTTTCAAACAGAATTCGTACTTTACACAACAGTTGGGAATTTGATCGTTATCGTCAAACATCAAACTAATTTTAAACACAACGGTCTCGTTTTGCACATTTTTCTTTTCCTTTCCTGAATAGGAGCAAGATCAGTTTACTGTAGAGTTCCTAATATTCATCGTGGTGTAAGTGTTTTTCAAAAAAACCTAACTTTTTTCAAAAAAAATTATTTATTTCAAAAACATGTTTTTGATTCGCAAAATTTGTTACGTGGTTAAATTTTCAAGCAATCGGCTTTTCATCAAAACTTAAAGATATGCTTAATAAATAATGAAAAATGAACCAGGAACTAGTGTATGAAGAGCAGGAGATCGTGACCACCATTCAAATCTTCTTCCGAAAGCTCTACAAACAGGAAATGCCAGACACAGGTTCCCAGAGAGATAACAGAGCCCCAATTCTAAATGTTGCAAAGTAATTTTAAGAAATATAACTTCGTTCTGTTATTTGTAATGGTTTTATATTATTATATACGGTCAGTAATGTGTCCATTACTTTGTTATCCATTATAATATTGCTTGTTAGTAAAGTTAATCTTGCATTTTCATAACCGAAAGACATCGGGGCGTGAACTTTACGTTAAATTTTTGTAGACTCTTCCAGAGAACAGAAATATTTATTGAAAAATTTCCAATTAAATGAGGCAGCTAGCGGTCCCTAATCAACTTCTTAAAATTAAGTTTAGCTTTGAATTTTGTATGCAATGAGCAGCATTTGAATAAGGCGTTTTTGGTGAAGTCGAGATAAAAAACGTCCAGATTGTTAAAAGTTGGCATGATATTTTCGTATTGCAGAGGAGATGTAATGGGCCATGAGCCGGTACAAAACAGATTATAAACTTTAAATAAGGACTATTATTTTTATATGTAGAAACACTAGTTACAGTCGCTATGTCGCTTTCATTAAGTACAAATCACTAACGCCTTTTTCTGAATCAAACTGGGTTTGTATATGTATTCACCAACACACTATAGCGGATAATATTCAGAGGGGCTACACAGAATTGTGTAAACTACCTTTGGCCAAATTGGGCATGTCTGACACCTGGAAGGTATTAAAATAAACGAATAACTAATTTTGAATTGCTGAACTAAATCACACTAATAAAAAGAAAGGAACACATTTATTGTCTGCAAACGCATACAAGTCAAGATTACCTTTGATATAATAATTTTTAAATCCACAATAATTGATAGGGTAATCCAATAGGCACTAAAACTGCACTAGTAGATCGTTCTCAATCCATATGATCTAACCGCAACAATCACTTGTAAATTCAATTTATTCCACTAAGGGTCACTAATTGTAGACCTAGTGGACCAATCAAGGAAATCGAATTTGCGGAGTTAATAAACACTAATCAACTTGGAAAAGTTCACTGGCTTAAACCGCTCATAAGTGGTTATTTGCGAAGTTGAGCTAATTGCCGACACTACCTAATTTTATTTACATTTAATTTACTTTGAGTCTCAAATTTGATTTCTGGGGATTTAATTTCAGGTGCTTTGCTGTTAGTTCCGAATAACTATGAATATTCAAAATACATTTTCTAATATCAAAAAGTCCAAATAAAAATCATTATATTTATCACCACCCCCTTCGCGCACTTCAACACAGTTCCGACATAACCAGAGGCTTTCGGAAGACCAACATACGAAGAAAACAAACCACGGAAGCACCGCGCGTTTACTACGTCCGCGTGCGAAGGAAAATGATCAAAATCATTTCGAGAGTTCCCGGTTCGAGGATCTGATAGGCGGCAAACGTATGACGGCAGTGTTGCCGCAGACGAGATAATCAGGAAAATCGTGGAAAAACGCCGGAACTATGGACAACCCTTGGCTATTACAAATTATTCAATTGTTGCAAATATATGAGCAGAAGGCAATTTAATGTTAAGAACAATATGAAAGCATCATGAGAAAAATGTTCTGAAGCTTTCCTAAAGTTTTTAAAATTTCCTAACATAAAAAATGATTTTCTATGCTATAAAAGAACTTACACGTAATTTAATAGATGAATATTGTGTGGAAATATGCTCTTTTTTAAAAGCAACTCCGGAAACAATTTTTGTATGGAACGTTCCGAACATGTATTAAATGTTTATTTGAATTATTTCATACTCCAAAGCCCACAAATGTGTTCCCTTTTCTAGTTAAAATCAGAGTTGGGCCGTTTCCTAGTTAAAAATCAACTGCTTTACAGTTGAAGTGACAAAAATGTAGATCTGCTCCGCTCAGCACATGTAAAAACGTTCCTATGAACATAGTGCAAGTGCTTCGTTTAAGCCGCGATAAAAGCTATGCTCTTTTTAATTGAGTTCAAAATTGATAGCCGTAGAAACTGTTTGGGCCATTTAAATGAAATTTTAGGGTTTATTGAAACAATGACCATCGTTCCTGATGGTTTTTGTTCCCTGCCTTTTCATGCACCAAGAATCAATCGTTGATACATTTTCTCTATACTAAATGAAAATCATTTAATATTAACAATAAATTGCATAAAAAGTCTTTATAGTGGGCAAAACCTTTTAATTTTTTTAAATTATAACAAACAGCGATATGTTGTCGGATATGCGCCTTTATTGTTAGTTACAGAAATTATTAGACCGTAATTTAAAATTAGTCGTGAGGGATGGATGTAGAAAACAAATGACAGAAACAAGAGAAAAAAATGCCAAAAAAATGTATGTAAATAGCGATGGTTTATATACGGCGAACTCGGATAATTCTTTCCAAAAGTACAACTGGCTTAATCTTTAACTGCGTTTCGAAAATTATGATTCTAATCAATGATAATTGCTTTAAAAACCCGATCAACTTAATATAGCCGCTCATTAATACAAGTCTAGAATTAGATTAATATAAAACTTAAAACTTCAATCAAATTTTCTTTAAGCTTTTGACATTTTAATTTTCAAACACTTTACACAGAAGGCTGTCTGGTAATGTTTTTTTCATTATTCTGTCGGTAATTAAATATACAAAGAGTATCTTAATGTGTGAACAAAAAGTGGAACATGTCATTAATATAAACTTTTAGCGGAAAATTAACAGCAAGCATCAGTAAAAATAGAGAATTAAAATCCGCTCATTCAGATAAATAGGGAGGTTTTTTGAACTGCAAATACTTTTTTGATCTTCTCTGTCGCAAACTAAACAAGGAATTGTTCAATACATTTCAATATTCCCGGAATTTTCCCAAAAACAAAAGAACTATGAGATATTATTCAGGATTACCTTTGGAGGCAGTTTAAAAGTGGGGGAGTTAGGAATAACCTAAGTTTTTAAGTACCTACAACTTAATAAACTTTTTGAGCTGTCATGTCCAAAACCGACTCGCATCTTTTCGACAACGTCTTAGCAGAAAATTTACTTTATTTAGAATTTATACTACTCCACAGCCATTAAAATAAAAATTTATGTTTGAGTCGAAAACGAGTCTTTTCGATCAGGTTTCGATACAGCGAAAGCGACTAAAAATACGATACCACTAGTATATATGTATTTCTAAATGTTCCATATCTAGAAACGAATTTTATTTCGGTAATCACAACACGCAGTAAAGACCTTTTTGCTAAATTCCAATTGACAAATAGACACAATGTTCACTGATGTGCTCAAGTTGAGATAACTTATGTATTTTGAACATTATTGCGGTGCGGAAATAAGGCATATAACAAACTTCTCGTTGAATCTACTAGCAAGACGGAATTAGTAACGATAGATGACATGGAAAAAGCAACTGAGGTGTTTCCAATATCAATGAAAATTCAAAGATATACAAATTGTTATTGGCAGAATTAAAGAACTATTAGCAAAATCCGATGCGGCAAAAAGAAGAAGCGTGTTTGGAGCTGAAACACTTTGTATATTTTCGTTCTTTCTATATGCCTTAAAAACGGGGTTTTGCTTAGGTTTACTCAATACCTCCTTGCTTGCAGAACGTGTTATTTAAATGTGGCAATATTTACTTTTGTAATTAAATTTTCATAATAGGCTAATTAATTAAGTTTGATATTGTTTAACATAAATTCGACTTGAGCTCCGATATTTGTTGACCGAATAAAAATATAATTATTAATCTAAATAAACCATAATACAAATTTAAAAAAGTGTAATTCAATCGGAAACAACACAGGAAGTTATCTATCTAAACTCTACCCTAAACATCCGAAATTGGCTAACACAAGTAATAAATGTAATAAATATTGGAAGAAATATTCGTCAGACGAAGATCTAAATTCAAAAACAACTCAAATCTAATGTTGACTTTTTCTGCAACATAAACATGTTGGATCTTCTAGATTTGCACCTCATTGCAAACTGACATAAATAAATCAAAAATAAAAGACGTAAAACTATACATATAATATGTCGAGCTGCTCTCAGTCACCTATTTAACAATTTTGGTTGAAACATATTACACATAAAACATTTACGAACAAGATCTTATAACCACTTTCTTTTATATTATTTCACGCAAAAGTGTAAAACATGTGAGAAAATCGTGTGGCCGTGGAGGTCAACTCTTCAGTTAATTAGAATAAATGTTGACGTTAGGGTTAATTGCACAGTTGCAAAATAAGTAATTGAGAGAAACGAAATAGTATTTAATTTCCCCTAAACATTATTGTAATTTAATAAATACTAGAGAATTATTTATTTGAGAAGTGTGAATGAATTACAATAGCATCTGTATCGTCTAACAAAACAAAACTTGTCCATTTTCTAAATTAATGGCTATTCTAACTCTATTCATTCTGCATTCATCATGCATAATTGAAATCGCCTGATTTAAAACATTTCTGCACTTCTGATTGAACTGACTGAACGCCAATCTGATTTCGTAGGTACTGCAATATTGTCAGGCAATATTATCAACAAATACAGGATTTTCATTGTAGTCATTAAAGGCAAGCCCAGATTTACCATTTTTAGTTTATGGATGAAATTGGATTTTAGAGTTGCACGTAAGTGTATAACGTACTTTTCATAATAGTGTACAAAATAGACGACAGTTTCATTTGCCTGAGGTAATTACCTAATTAACATCCAATTAAGTGAAATGACCTGTACATTAATTAACCCAACTTTACATTATTACTTATGAAAACTGCAATAGTTATAATTATATACTTAATTGTACCTGTATTACAGATAAGGGTCCTACAATGAAATCTCCTATTAATTGTTGTTAGAAAGGGACGTGTTTCTGGTCAGATGTAGAATTTTGAAATATTCATGATCCACTTTTCTATCTATTTCAGATTGTGACGTTTTTCTATTTTATTTTGTTTACATAAAGAAAGAAACTGTGCGTGGTGTTTAAAAACTCGGAAAAATTTAAATAATTTTTGACTAATTAAATTAAAAGTTTCTGTTACTTAAAGTTCCTCTGAAACGTTATGGTCAAAAAATTTATGGTAACCTATGACGCATTGATTGACTTTTTATGTTTGTTTTATGTTGATTAAGTTAAGATATTTATTGATTAAGTAATTCAGACCAACAATTAATAACGAAAACTGCGAGTTTGTACCCTCTGTACTGTTGATGTTATAGAGACATTTAAATTACACTTAAATATTTCAAAAATATTTTAGATGAGTAATAAAGTTGTGAATAAAAACGTACTAACTAAACTTAGGAGTTCAGAGTCATGCACATAAATAGTTACCATGATTATTGACTAACAATATTTAGGATGGATTCCAGACTGCTAAGTAGTTGTATTGCAGTATTAAATAGAAATAATAACAGTGGGCAAATGAAAAGCAATTCAATATTCCTGAAACTGCATTATCCCGTATATATTTGTCTTGCATATGGGGGCTTGAGATTCATTTAAAGCTACTAAGCGCAATAACGAAGTAATTGGAAAACTCCACTAAACGTATGATTTAAAATCTTGGCAAATCCACTTTGTTTTGCTTAGTGCCTCTTTAGCTGCATGCTAACACCAATAAATTTAGATTTAGGTGTTGGAAATTGCACGACATCGATTATGAATAATTTCGCAATTTATTGAAGAGCTTAAGAGCATAACTCATTTTTCTCCGTTATAACCTTTACAATAGCTAATTCCATAATATTTTAAAATTGACTGAAGAATTAAGAAACTGTTTGTTCTCCAAATCTGAGATTCACTCTGACTATAATTATTGGCGTACTTACAATAGCTGAATAACTCATTTTCGAGAGGCGCGATATTGGAATTAATTTTTCTGAATTGTTATAATCAACTAATGTTTACTACGTAGCAAAATAAACGTGCTTCGGATAACTTAAATGCATTAAAGGTAAGTACTTGTTCCTTAATTTTAATCAAAAGGAACATGTTTACGTATTCCTTAGTTATAAATCATAAGACATGCATGCTGTTCTATAAAACCAACAGCAAAATGCATTTGGAATTATCTCAAAATCAGCCGAAAACGACTAATATTAGAGTGGATATGTCGGTCTCAAAACATTATTTTTGAATCCCACCAGCGAGTCTGAATTATTTTCACCAATAAAACAACGAATAATTGCAGCCGTAATAGCACTCATCTGAAAAACCGGAAATCGAAATTGATTTGAGCCGAACGTTCATTTCCCACGAATTATTCAATTATTAAATTAATTATAAATATTTTGGAGCGATAGAGAAATTTAAATGATTCACGTTTAACTTAATT